CAGCACACGGTGCGATCGCGCGACCCTGCCCGTGAGCAATCCCCCAACTTATTTCTGCTACGTAAAGTACCTAGGGTATTTTACTTACCCAATCTTGCTGATATAACCCTGGTTGTTTTAAAACCTGGCTAAGATTGCATGCGTAAACGTATTCAGTGTTTTCCTGTTGCAGATGGTGCTAACCTGCATTTTGAGTAGTCTAAAGCCACTCTTTTTTCACTTGTAATCGAAGACTCATACATTTCAATTCCTTGGACAAAACCAGACAAAACGGCTTGATATTTCTTCCTTGATTGTTCCGTTTAGTTGGTGTTGCGGTATGGCAAATGCAGGCTTGAGTTTAGATGACATAATTAAAAAGACGAAGCCTTCAGGAATGAGTGGCCGAGGAGGGTGAGGAAATAGATTTTCTACGTATACGCGATCTGCAGAATCGTTCCTTTTCACAACAAGTCGCTCAGAACTTTTACACAGTTATTTATAATCATGCATTAGAAGTTATTAGCCAGCGTTGTACGGCCTTGTGGAGGTTGTAAATCCTGAAGCTCTAAGCAAAGGGCATTTCTATCGAGTCAACGAGAATTCTTACAAGTCTTATAAGATTATCGTCTTGAAAATATAAGGATACTCTAATAATTAGTTTCAAATCACTTGGTCGGTGTACGTTATTATCCATAATCTTATATATCGATTGTTTGTGATTCAACTCGTTTGTCTTCAGATTGCGCCGAGGAGTTGGCCGAGGTGGGCGAGTAAGCGAGCCGGTTAGAAGTCGAGGATCACATTCGGTAACAGATGCCCGATTTAAGATAATACAAAAGAATAGGGAAAAACTCACCGATGCACGAGATAAACTTGCAGAGATTGCCAAACAATCTGACGCGAGACTGAAGTTAGAGAAAATTCGGGCGTCGCAATTCAAGAAAATAGATCTCCTGCATTCCAGTATTTCCCGAAAGACTGGCAGAAATGGACGAATATCACTGACGACCAATAAAATGGCCGCGATACCACCGCATCCTCCTCCGATGACTTACACGTCAGGACATTTAAGGAACTCGGGATACAGACCGTCTGCACCTGTAGAACCACATTATGTTGATGATTTTAACATGGATTATAATGAAGGTATCTTAATCTCTATTTCATTGATTAAGGTGGTATGAAAGTGGCTTTTCAGGTATCATATTTATAAAACTTTTCCCTAAAATCGGTGTACCAAATCATTTGAAATCACCATATGATCAGGGAGGCTATAAGAAAGGTCCCAATATCTATGAAATTAAGAAAAAAAACATTTTTATTTATCTCATACTAGAACGAAGATGATATAATTAACATATATTTTTTATGTTTTACATCTTTTGAAAACTTAGAATCAAAAATGAAGACTCAGGACATAGGCATAACCATTTAGAACGCTGATAAATGAATCTTACATATTCGCTTGGTAGATATTGAGAAAAGTATTATAAATGCATACTACGAAATGCACGATTATTCCATCAGAAGTGCATGCTCTAAAAGTGCTTTTATGGCCTGTATCCACAATCAAAGAAATTTGTTAAAATTGATCCTAAACAGTCATTAGAATAATGAATTCACGGGATTTTTATAGTTTTACATTGATCTCTTCCTCATTTTTTTACTGAAATGACATACAGAATGCTTCATTTTGTATAATTCTTAATGTAGAGTGTAATAGACGTTAACATAAATATAAGTGTCAGTAACGTGGCCCGCTAGCTTATATTACCACTTGAGTATCCAAAATGGTATTATCACCAAAAAGAGTATAGATGAATTTTATTTTATCGACGTCGATTAAATCTCTTAGCGCCTTTCATATCACCTTAAACATGCATAAGTGAATGTAACGTTTTATGTTTAGATTATTACATGGAGTCGGCACCATTAAGGCGTACTGTCAGTAATGAGTATGCCCCTACACCACCACCACCTCTGCCTGTGTTCACATTGAAGCCATCGTCTCCATACATTTGGGTAAATGTTCCCGGTGGAAACAGTTCGAGGAGCATGCCTCCCCGTCTGACAGAGAGCGAGAGACCACGAGATTTTAAAGTGGTGGCTCGTAGTTCAGCGGTAAGTTGTACAATTGAAACATCTAAATAGAATATTATTTCATCTTTTTACTTATTTCATCTCTTTTCCAGCCAAAACTTAGCTCGCCTTCGTATCGAGACGACTGGTCATTTGGCTCAAAATCTCGGTAAGTTAGTTGGCAGAATTTTAGCACACGGTTTAACCCTTAAGGTGAAGTGAAACCCTTCTCAAATCAGTCGATTCGAATAAAACACTTTTTTTGCAATAGTATTGAACCGAACCGTCTGAAACTTTGACACATGACTTATGAGCACCTAGAAATTATCCTGACACTTTCAAAATTTAGATTTTCGAAAAAACATAGTTTAACTTAGTCCAGACCAGAACTAAAATAGCGTCGAGCTCTCATATTCCGATCGATATACAATTATTGAAGACTCTAATAAGAGAAACTAAAGGGTCAGGACAATTGTACGACAATTTAGAACACTCTGGTAATCGATAAACTCGCATTTGAACGGGATAAAGGCAAAAAAAGTGTTGTATGCTCTTCTATGCTAAAACGTTGGGAATATGAGGTCTCGGAGGGAAAATATAATTGACGTGCAAATCACAGATGGCGCAGGGGGTCCCCCTGCAGTCAATTAGGGCCCCAGAAAGCATGAATTCAGAGGATTTGTGGGGTTTTACTGCGATTTCTTTATGAAATTCTTTATGAAATTTTAGTGTCAGAACTTTCCTTACAAGATAAAGCTCTCTCATTAGAGCCTCCATATTCACGTGGTAAAGTTTCAAACGATTCGATGCACCAAGTTCGAAGAAAAGTTTCATAAACGATTAATCTCTGAGATGTGATTTTCATAATACCTTGAGAAAGAACCTTTCATATTACCTTGAGATAGAACCTTTCATATTACCTTGTGAACGAACTTTTCATATTACGATACAAAATGTTAAAAGGTAATTTCACATTCCTTATCTTTTTCAGGACCATCTTATCAGAGGGTCCTCCAGAAAGCAAGTACTACGAGTCCAGGTCCCATAGAGAGTCGCGAGATGTCGGAGTGAAATCAAGACTAGATTCGATGCCCAGTAAGCCACGATTAATGTCGTCGGAGAGACCGATGGGTCCTATAGCTAGGCCAAAGTCTAGCTCAAGTTCATCGACATCTACTGGATATCGAATTGTTGTGTCAAATCTACAGGCAAATGTGACTCAAGAGGATATTAAGGTAACATTGGGATATGAAAGGGACAAAAGGAATCGATAAGAGCATAGCCCTACTGCTGTACTGCACATATTTACGTAGACCTACGTTTGGGTGATACGAGTAATGGAACGTGGGTGTGTACACTATTATTTATCTGGTGACAAATCATGACACTGCAGGTTCAATTCTCATTTGTATAGATCTAAACCATGGATGTGAGAATATATGGACGGAGCCCAAACTCGAGGGGCGAGTGTCGAAGTTGGTGACGAGGGAACACGTACGAACAATGATCTAGTCTTTATCGCTTTAAAAGCATCACACTCTGTAAATCATTCGTGGATTATCGTTTCACTTTTCCGGACCTTAATTGCAAAATTAAAGGCATTTTGGGTAATTTACATCGGTAGGAAATATTTTGGTCACGTAGTATAGGAGTTCCCTCATTTTCCGCTAGTGGCGCTGGCATTGTTAGATCAGCGAAAATCTGAGATCCTGGATCCCGATTCTGGAGCAATTTTCCATAGGCGTTATGTCTCCTTATACTACTTCATGGTACAAAGGGCACGTTTACAATTGCATTGATTTGTGACATTCGAAAAGTGAATGGGACATAAGTACGTTTGCACGTTTTTGTGACATTCGCACATTTTCGTAACCTCCAATTCCCCAATGTGCCCCACGTCCCTAATCATAATCGGCCGAGAAAAACGTAGTTCTACGTAAAAAATATATTGCAGGATGGTAGCAGAAAATGGAAGAAAATTTGTTCCCGATCGTTGTAACCAGTTTGTTGTTTCTTGAACAGGAGCTGTTCGAAGATGTCGGAGAACTGCTCGTATCGAGATTAGTGCGACCGGGCACTGCAGAGGTAATTTACAAAACATTGAAGGATGCTACTAAAGCAGTGGAAACGTATCATAACCGACTGCTCGATGGTCATCCGATGAAGTGTCTGCTAGTGAACCCTCGGCCGAAAAATAATCCAACTGCTCCAGCAATTAGACCGTTAACAGAGTAAGATAAGGGTTACCGATACCTTCTTTAGTGTAAGATGTTCAGGAAATGATTAACACTAAAGAGTACCATTGACTTTCCAGGACTAGAAGAAACGCCAGCTCGAGTTATGTACAGCCAAGTTTAGGCGCAATCCATCGCGCTTTATTCGACGACTGTCGCAATTAACATTAATTGTACAATCGATTAATCCTTTACCAATCCAAGGAATATAAATTACCACGAGTTAATGAAGTAAACTGTGCTACATTTTTATCCCACTTTGTATGTATTGTTAACGATATATCCAAAAGTTCTCTTCCCTTTATTTTAATTCGTGTGGAGCATCGGCACTCTCAACCGACACGCAAGCACCAACATCACAGAAGTTTTGAAGAAAATTGTAAAACCGAATGGCGCAGTTTTTCTTGTATATTTACTACATTAAAATAAACATACACAATCTACAGTTAAGGGATATTGGTGCCGTTATGCGTAGCATTCTGTATTAATCGTTCTTACGCCTGAGAATGAGATTAGAATATGTAAGAATTAACATTCGATGAAGCTGTATTTTATCATTAATTCATCGATGCAGTGTGTAGATCACAATTGGCTTGATTAACAGTGGATAATGTCACTCCTACAATTTTTATATCAAGTATCGTACTGTGATGATAACGCGTTGATGTGAAACACGTCGAGAGGAACTCGATCGACATCGGTAAAAGAGATTTTTCTAAATACCTATGTTGCCGACGTTCGTTTTTATATTAACAGCTGTGTCGAATTATATTGGGTATTGTACTAAATGGCATACTCAACTTGTTTTCGTACAATAATTATAAAGAAATCGAAGTAAAACTCCAGAAATACCCTGGATTCGAGGTTTCGGAGGTCCTAATTGACTGCAGAGGGACACCCTGCGTCATCAGTGATTTTTATGTCAACTAAATTTTCACTCCGAGACCTCGTATTACCATCGTTTTAGCATAGTAGCGCATAAGACACTTTTTTTGACTTTATCTCGTTCAAATGCGAGTTTCTCAATTACCAGAGTGTTTTAAATTGTCGTGCAATTGTCCTAACACTTTCGTTTCTTATATTAGAGCCTTCAATAATTGTATATCGATCGAAATATAAGAGCTCGATGCCATTTTGGTTCTAGCATGAGTTAAGTTAAGAAATTCTGGTAAAAAATCGAAATTTTGGAACTGTCAGGATAATTCCTAGGTGCTCACGAATCATATGTTAATGTTTCAGACGGTTCGATCCAATACTCTTAAAATAAAGTGTCTTATTCGAGTCGACTGATTTGAGAGGAGTTTCACTTCGGCATGGCATTAAAAATTTATTTGTGTCCCCAAATGGACTTGGGTACAATTGGTGATTATGTAATTACTGATAGGAAGAAGGTTAGTCGTAGGTCAATCGTTACATGTATGTATCATACGTATGGATGTACGATTTAACACGTCAAATTGATTTCAGTGGAGTTCTGCGTTTCTGTTGGAACTTTAAACAACGTAGCTGATTTAAATAAAGGATGCCGAAGAACGTCAAACCGTCTGGAATTCTGGTCGGCGCCATCGACGAGGGGACCAGCAGTGCCAGGTTTCTAGTAAGCATGCGTTGTCTTTTATTTGAAAAAAATGTTCACTACTCGAGCTAAGGAACTACAATCTCGTGATTATCGGTTATCAGTCAAGACTGCATTCGTTTCCGGAGTCGCACATTAGCGATTTTCTTTCCTTTAGTCGATAGAAGTGAATCTGTGAAGGTAGAGGTTATGTTAACCAAGTTTACAAAGCTTGCGTTTACAGTTGTCCAAAGGAAGAAATTCAAACCGAGTTTTTTCCTGTCTAGGTGTTCGACGTAATTCACAGAGAAGTTGTAACGTCACATCAGATCGAGATCAATAAGTTTTATCCTCAGGAAGGATGGGTCGAACAGGATCCAAAGGAAATACTGGACGCAGTGGTTACGTGCATCGAAGAGACGATGAAAAAGCTGAAGGATATGGGTATAGACAAGGAGGATATCAAAACTATCGGAGTCACAAACCAGAGGGAAACTACGATATTGTGGGACAAGATCACTGGTGAACCGTTGTACAATGCGATCGGTATGCTTTTTTACTTATTGACGGATAACGACAAGTTAGTGCTTTCGATAGTGTACACTTATTATGTAATAATGAATGATCGTTATTTAAGTGTGGCTGGATATGAGGACCACGTCGACGATGGAATTTCTCTTGGATACTGTGCATTACAGGACGAGAAATAAAAACTACCTGAAGCCACTTTGCGGGCTGCCGCTGTCCCCGTATTTCAGTGCTCTCAAGATACGTTGGCTGATGGATAATGTGCCTCGAGTTAAACAAGCTATTGAAGAAGATAGATGCGTCTTCGGAACTGTGGATACCTGGATCATTTGGGTAGTGAACTGATTTTTTTACAAACTTCATTTCTTTGCAAAGTTAATCCTCCATTACCACTTAATTTTTAACACTTACATTTTATGTAATACTTATATTTTGCTTATGTGTTTACCGCATTCAGGTTTAGGAAACTTCAGCCCATAACTTGTGAAAAAATGAATATATATATATTTTTTTTTCTTTTAAGGTGAAGTGAAAGTGGCATAAAAAAAGTCTTGTTTATAAAGTTTTCTCTGAACTATGTGTATCAAATCATTTTAAATGTTACTGCTTGAATACGGAAGCCCTGCAAAAGACCCTTATACCCATGAAATTTGAATATCTTAAAAATTAGTTTCTAGAAATTGTTAAAATTTTCGTTAAAATTAAAATTTCATGGGTATCAGGACCTTCCTTGCAGCCTCCATATTCACGTAAGATATATACAGGTTGACTCTTTCATATCACCTTAATACTATAAAAATAATAGTAATCATGCAAATGTAAATATTTGCATGTGACACATACTTTGAAATGTTCATTACGCATCAGTTACTGGTAACCGTTGTGGCATTAATGTATTAATTTGCATGTTTGCAATTAATGCATTAATTAATAAGGACAACCATATTTTCAGAATCTAACTAAAGACCGATTGCACATCACCGACGTATCCAATGCATCTCGTACGATGCTTATGAATATTGAATCACTGAAGTGGGATCCTGCATTATGTAGCTTCTTTGGAATCCCACAAGGCATTCTTCCTAAAATTCACTCGAGTTCAGAAGTTTATGGTTACATCTCCTATCCCGAAGTTCTGAGTGGAATTTCCATAACATGCGTAAGTAGCACGTGATTCAATTTGCAGAACTAGATGATGGTTACGACAGCGTTACGAGAATTATTATACAAGAACTGAATTGACTACATTGATTTAACTGCAGGCAGTTGGCGATCAGCAAGGAGCTCTAATGGGTCAACTGTGTATGAAACCAGGCCAAGCAAAGGCAACCTATGGTACTGGATGTTTTCTACTTTACAATACTGGAAACAAGGTGAGCAACTGTGCAACGATGTTATGGTGAAGTGAAACACGTCGAGAAATTTGACCGATGTCGATCCTGGGATCATTTCATTTTAGAGAATTGACTCTACGCAAGGTTTAGTGACCACGGTAGGATACAAAATTGGTTCCTTGCCTGCCGTTTACGCCCTGGAAGGCTCTGTTGCTGTCGCTGGAGCTGCATTGTCCTGGCTTCGAGATAATATAGAATTGTTAAGCAACATTAAGCATTCGCAGTCGCTTGCTGAGCGAGTTAGATGTTCGGGCGATGTCTACTTCGTTCCTGCCTTTTCCGGTCTTTATGCTCCATATTGGCAGCAAGATGCAAGAGGGTACAGTGTCTCGAATATTTTGTTCAACGTTTAAACGGAAGTTGTGGGTCATTTTGAGCCAGTGCCATCATATCATAAATCTGCACTTTGCATATGTCATCCGGCACTTTTAAGCATATTCTCACGTAGATAGTTGCGATTAGTAATAGTTGGAAAAGAAATGTGAATCTGTTTTCTTAAGAGGGAATTGTAAAATAAGCAGGCAGTACGATACAAATCGACTAGCTTTTTATTTCGAGAGACGTTAATACAAGGGAACCGCCGACTTGCGAGTCCTGTTACCGTGCGATCCCTTTTTTTAACCCCACTTCTGGTTTATTAGTCAACTTTTAGAGCATCAAGCGCTAACATAGGATCTGGGCTTCTATGGGATTCTGAATTCTTTGATATAGATCTGTATAGATCAGTGGTTGGGAGAGAAGTGTGCATAGGGTGTCCGGATACAATATTTATGATACGATGACGTTGATTCAAAATGATTCAATCTCTGTTGGGGGATCAACGTTACCTGGAAGTACCACTTTATAAAATTGTATAATACATTACAGAGTCATTTGTGGGATTACCGAAGAAACGCAACAATATCATATTATCAGAGCAGCTCTTGAAGCGGTCTGCTTCCAAACGAGAGATATTCTGGAAGCAATGGTTAAGGATTCTGGAACGACCTTGACGGCTTTACAAGTGGATGGCGGTATGACTGTGAATGACTTATTAATGCAGTTGCAATCAGACTTGACAGGAATCACTGTCGGTACGTATTGGGAAAAGATTTTAAACGAATTAACCCTAAGTTAAGGGGATGTGAAAGTGCCATCCGAGGGGTCGATCGTTCAAGAAACTTTTCTCCGAACTGGGTGTACCGAATAGTTTCAAACTTTACAACGTGAATATGGAGGCTATAAGGAAGGTCCTGAAACTCATGACATTTCATTTTTCATTAAAAATTGATTTATTAATCATTGACTCAAACCAACATGGCGCGGTCGGTGCACGTTTTCGATATTTTATGCTTCTTGGAGGCTTAAAATCGAAAATGCAGAGTTACAGGACCTAGCTCGAACAATTTAGAATATCATGGAAATGGAATATTACCGAATCAGATGAGAAAGTATGGAAAATATTTGGATCAATGAACCAGAGAATGCTGGCTTGTGCCTTGGCTAACACGTATTTTTAGAGCAAAAATTTAGTTGTAGCTAAACGTCACAGATGGCGACGTTCGTCCTAAACAATCGTTAGAATAATGAATTCACGGGATTTCAATAGTTTTACATCCTATCTCTTCGTCGTTACTTTATTGAAATGAGATATGGAACGCTTCAGTTCATATGATTATCAACGTTGATCTGAAGCAGTACTAAGCGTTATGATATTTTCTAGTAAGGCCCGATATGGTTGAAACGACAGCTTTCGGAGCTGCACTTTTGGCTGCCATAGGAGCGGGCTTGATGGACGTTAATCATGTTACCGCTGATCAAGTTACAACGTTTGTGCCACAGATTGGAAACGAGGGTAAGGACATTGAATGAAACTGCCAACATTTGTAAGTTATAAAACCATACATTTCCTTTCAGAAAGGGATCGTCGATATTCTAAATGGAAAATGGCGGTTGAAAGATCGTTGAATTGGGACACCTTGTCGAATCAACTGGATGAAAATTGAAGTTAACTTTTAGACATTTGTTTCATATTGGCGAATGTGCAATCATGTCTATGTCTTGGAAGAGCTTGTAAAGTGAAACACTTCGAGAAATTTACTCGACGACGGTAAAAAATTTTCTTCTAAATACCTACGTTGCAGACTTTCGTATTTATATTGAAAGCTGTGTCGAATTGTATTGGGTTTTCTACTAAATGGCGTACTCCATTTGTTGTTTCCCTGCAATAATTATACAGAAATGGAAGTAAAACTCCAGAAATCTCCTGGATTCATGCTGTTTGATGCCTTAATTGACTGCAGAGTGGTACCCTGCGCCATCTGTGATCTCAGTGGCAACTACATTGTCTATCCTAGACCTCTTGTTACCTTCTTTTTAACATAGAAGCACAAAAAACACCTTTTTTTGCCTTTATCTTATTCAAATACGAGTTTCTCGATTATTATAATGCTCTAAATTGCTATACAATTGTCCTAACACTTTCGTTCCTCGTATCAGAGCCATCAACAATTGTATATCGATGGAAATATGACCGCTCAATGCCATTTTGATTTTGGTCTAGGCTAAGTCAAACATTTCTTTCCGAAAATCCAAATTTTGAATGTGTCAGAATAGTTCTTAGGTGTTAGCGAGTCATGTGTTAAAGTTTGTTAGATCGGTCCAATAGCCTTAAAAAAAGTGTTTTATTCTAATCAACTGTTTGAGGGGGTTTCATTTCACCTTAAGCTGAAACGACATATGGAGTATGCCATTTAGTAACAAAACCCAATATAATTCCACACGTCTGTCAATACAATCTACGAACGTCGGCAAGGCAGGTATTCAGGAGAATCTTTTTATCGACGTCGATGAAATTTCTCGACGTCTTTCACTTCACCTTAAGAAGCTGTAAGAAGATAATGCCGAGTTATATCGTTAATCTGGCTCGGCAGATGAACGTTGAAGACAATTATCCTAAAGCTTAAATAGAAACAGTGTTAGAGAAAGGAATCATTGAAACATTGATCTAGTAAGAGGTAAACAAATATTTATTTACATAAAACTATAGTCAACGATAGTGAATTATTATGCTTTAATGCATTAAACGAAACTACATACTAGTGTTTTAACTGTATCACAATTCGGGCTGTAAACGTGGGCCTGTAAACGAGTTTACTGTTCCTTTGAAGTCAGTCCTCTCTTGAAAAATTTACGCTGAGTCTGAGGTGTCTTCTTGATACTCTAAACACAATGAAAACCGATAAAGCAGATGATAAGGAAGTGTTCTTAATAAGTATTGCAAAGTAAATGTTTTAAACAATTTGTTAATTCGTGAGTAGACCCGTGTCTGTGTTCATGCTCTGGGTACAAAGTCTTAGGCGTGTTAATAATGAATATTTCTGTAATGTACCTGTTACATAGAGCTACTGTTATCTAACGTAAAATGTTGTTTAATGCAAATGATGCGAGGCATCTATTTTTGATAATGTAATGTTCCTCTACACGCGTCGACCGGGTGTCTGAAAATATATTTCTACTCTATCCTACTTGTGGGGATTCTTATCTTAATTGATACTGGTGAAAGTACGACACTGTAAATAAATGTTACGTACTTGTGATGATGTTCCCTTTGCCGTTGACTGAACGCTTTCTACGGCGACGGATGTTTCTGCGTTTGGCAGGGATAGAGCTGCTGCTTGCGACGATATCGACGTTATCAAATCGTCAAAGAGCTCGTCACTATATTCTCGCGCCTGCGAGACACCGTAATCATAATTTTAATCAGGATGTTCAAAGTTTACTTAACATTCCTATCACTATTTATTAATTAAATACCCGAGATGAGCGGGGAGATGTTTTACGCCATTGTCGAAAGGGGCGAAACGTTCTCTGTCAGTAAAGGAAAACGCGTCTGCAGATTTCAAATACGACACAGCACCGATAGGATGAAGTTATCGCCTTTTCGTTTTCGGTATCAGGGTCAATGTAGGTTGAGGAAGAAGACTACGAATTCCAAATAAAGTTGTTATGCGTGGGTGATGGAGATTAGGCACAGCGCACGCGTATATCCTGTTTTACCGATCACGAGGATTTCGCCCCTTTCAAAGTAGTTCCAACTTTTACAGGAGGGTGAATGGCGTAGAGGGCGCCACCATGCCTCCCCTTCAAACAGTGGCGCGAAACTTCTCCCTGCTCGTATTTGTAAATACCTTTAGGTCTGTTTCTGCAGCATTGTTGCCACTAGACGGTAACTTTAAATCGAAGGGAAACCTCTTCGAAGACTTCCTTGTCGTTCGAGTTAGAAACATCTCCTACGTGCATTAAAGATTTTTTAAACAATGTCCTTCATATGGCTAAGAACGTCGCGACGAAATACTCGCCGTGTTTGAGAACCTATGAAGCAATGTCTACCTCTTCGCTACTCTTCTCTTCGGGATCTTTTTTCGGAGTTGATTCCTTCCGTGGTTGGCCCTTCGGGATATCAACTGTCTTCCTTTGATCCGCTTCTTTAACCGGCTGCTGTTTCGTCGGTGCCCTTGTCTCGCCTTGGACCTTTTTACATCTTTTATGCCATTCACTCTCTCCGCTCACTCTCTTCATTTCTGCCTCCATTAATTGCATCCTAGTCTGCAGGCGATCGTAGCTCTCTTTTTCGGAATAATACCTTTCTTTGAATTTCTCGTTCTCCTCTTTTGCACCGGCCAGCTGTAATTTAAGTTGTGACACCTCGCGGACAAGGCTCGCTTCCGCTTGTTTCTTCTCGTTCAGGCATACTTCTAATTTCTTCTTCTCGATCGCTAAATCCTCATTTGGCTTTTCCTCGCGTTGCCCGTGTAAGATATTTTCCTAAAAAGAGAACGATAATAATACGGGGCTCTATGTTTAAAATTCCTCTTATTATAACACAATTGTCTTCGTAAGTGGTTTTTCAAGTACAATGGCGGACATGAATGCCTCCCCTGGAGATACGGCATCGCCTGTGCAGGATGGGAGGGCATTGATGTCTCCCAGTGTACATTGTGGACATGAATGCCTGCCCTGCAGGTACGACATCGCCTGTGCAGGATGGGAGGGCATTGATGTCTCCCAGTGTACACTGTTGAAAAATATCTTTCCGGAATTTATGTGTACGTGTAGTCAACGTTTTTCTTTCAAGTTATAATTATGTGGATTTTAGTATACGAGTATACGGATTTCATAGGACACGTGTACCTAATTTCAAAAGCATTTGCATACTAATTTTCGATCAAGTCTGTCAGAATTCATAAGCAATCGTGTACAAAGGTACATACAACCCTCCCTCAATTTACGCGGTAAATTATAACAATTTACGCGGTAAATTATAACAATTTACGCGGTAAATTATAACAGTTTACGCGGTAAATTATAACAATTTACGCGGCAAATTATAACAATTTACGCGGTAAATTAAAACAATTTACGCGGTAAATTAAAACAATTTACGCGGTAAATTAAAACAATTTACGCGGTGAATTAACACAATTTACGCGGTAAATTATAACAATTTACGCGGTAAATTAAAACAATTTACGCGGTTTTGAAACGTCATTATTTTTATTTATTAAGCTACTTGAATTAAACATCCATTTTTTAAGCTTATATGTACTAGCTTTTATTTCCAATACTTTTTTTTCTACCGACAGACTTTATTTACGCGATGTACACGGGTGTACAACTGTAATAAAACATGTACACGAAAAATTAGATTCTTTTGTATACTGATTATTAATCGCGTGCACATATGCAATTATATGTATGTTGAAAAAAAGCACGTTATAGTACCTTTGTTAACATTTATACAGATTTCTTTTTTCATCTTCCCATTTAGTTCCAAATGTGGAATATCTTTTGTAGAATTCTAACGTAAAAATAGTGTTTTTCGAAATGTAGTATGCATTTATGCGGATTTCATCTCGTCTGTCGCTGTTTCTGGTTTTAATATAAATCTGTATTCTAGTATTCGTATGTACACATACGCAATTAGATGTATATTGAAAAAAGCGTTTTGAAAAAAGCGAAAGGCATTGTAGTACCTTGGTAACATTTATACAGATTTCTTTTCTCATCTTCCCATTTAGTTCCAAATTTGGAATATCTTTTGTACAATTCTAACGTAAAAATAGTGTTTTTCGAAATGTAGTATGCATTTATGCGGATTTCATCTCGACTATCGCTGTTTCTGGGTTTAGTATACATTTGTATTCTAATATTAGAAATATCAAAACCTTGTTTAACTGCATAATTTTCAGTGTATACCTGAATTTTGTTGTTCTCCGATCGCAGGTAATTATTTTCTGACTGTAGATGTTCCTTCTCTTTGAGGACAGCTTGCAGTCTTTCTTCTACGGCCGAGATGTCACGATTTTTACCTTCAAGTTGTCTCGCGGAATTCTCCATTTTATTCTCGAGCTCAGAAATCTTCCGTAAAAGCTCCTCGACCCTTTCCTCGCTCTTGCTTTCCTTCTGCGCTTTGTGTTTAAAATCCCCCTGTAACTTGTTATACCTTTTCTTCTCCTCGGTAATCGTCCTTTTAACTTTCTCATTCTCCGATCGTAAAGCTTTGCTCTCTCGTCTCAGATTTTCGTTTTCATTTCCAAGAGATGACAACATCCCCTTCAACACCGCGACCTGGTTATCGTTATCGTTCATTTGCTTAGACGAGTTTTCCATTTGGAACTCGTAGTCAGCTACCTTCTGCATCAGTTCCTGAATTCTCTCCTCGGTCCTTTTCTCTTTGTTCGTTTTCTCCATCAGCTGAGCCTCTAACTGAACCGATTTTTCTTTCTCATCGGCTATCATTCTTTTATTATCGTTCCGCTCCTCAAGTAGTTCGTCGTTCAACTTTTGGAGAACTAATTGTCTCTCTTTTAGTAATATTATTTCAGTCTCGTTGGTGTTAATTTGCTTCGTCGAGGTCATCCATTTATTTTCATACTCGGCCACTATTTCCAGAAGTTCCTTGATCCTCTCCTCATTCTTCATCTTCTTATCGATCGTCTCTGTAAGTTCCACTTGCAGTTTAGCGCACTGTTCGTTCATCTCGGAAATCCTTTTTTCCAGTAAGGAGCGATCGTCGATTAACATCTTGTTTTTAGCTAACGCTTCGTTCACATTCTCACGAATTTTCGAAATCTGTAACAATTGGTCATTTTTAAGTTAATATTGCAAATGAACGAATGCTGTGGAGTCGTTTCTGGATATTTCTTTTTGGCTTTAAGGTGATATGAAATGGTCATTATATATATGATGATATGTAATATAGTATTATATATTATTAAACCAGTAATATATAATATTATTAATTAACTAAACTAGTATTATATAATAATACTATATATATAAAACGTCAAGATATTTATAAAACTTTTCTCTAACCCGGGCGCATCGAATCATTTGAAACTTCAATACGTGATTATGAAGGCCCTAAGGAAGAACGCGATTCTCAAATTTCATTTTTCACAAAAAAATGTGATCTTGGTTCAACTATAAGCTAAATAAAACGAATTTTTTTGTAAAAAAATGAAATTTCACGGGCATCACGTTCTTCCTTAGGGTCTTCCTAATCACGTGCTGAAATTTCAAACGATTCGGTGCACTCGGTTTGGAGAAAAGTTTCATGATTTCCCATTTTGATATATAGAATGAACCTTTCATATCACCTTAAGGGGATGTGGCAGTGGCATCCGAAAGCTCAATTGTTCATGAAACTTTTCTACGAACTGGGTGTACCGAATCGTTTCGAACTTTACAACGTGAGTATGGAGGATATAAAGAAGGTCCTGACTTATGAAATTTTATTTTTTATCAAAAATTTTGAAAATATCTATAAACAAGTTTTTAAAATATTGACATTTTATGGGTGTCAGAACCTTTCTTATAGCCTTCATATTCACATTGTCAAGTTAGAAACAATTCGGTACACCTATTTCAGAGAAACGTTTCATAAACAAGACTTCTTTAACGCGACATTCACATCACCTTAACAACTGATTCAATGAGACGTTTCTTATCTATTCAGAGAGTCAGACTGAACTTAGGATAAAACACTATACCTAGTTGTTACGAACAAATTAGTATATTGATAAAGACATTTTACCTCCTGATGCTTCGACTTGATTTCATTCTCTAGACTTTCTTTATCCTTTGTAAGCTTTTTGATTACGTTTTCATTTTCTACGAGCTCGCTGGCTTGGGTGTCGCTTTTTTCTCTGTGGAAATAAAAACGAGTTAGTATGTACAATAGATGCACGCTAACTTATTAAAGAGACAAAAAGAAGATAACTTATAAATGAGTAAAGGACGCGAGAATTACCTGTAATTTTCCAAAGTTTTCTCCAAGTTTACAATACACTCCTCCTTTGCTTTAAGTGCCTGGACTACGTTCTCGTTTTCCTCTTGCATTGAGTTTAGACAGGATCGGAGCTGCTGATATTGGAGCCTAACTGTCGATAATTCCTCGAGCAGTTTGTGCTGATCCTAAAATAGGAAGATCCACCGTAAATTGTTTATATCGTTCACTTGTAATTGTTCACTGCTCGACAATGTGATCGTTGAAAACACGAATGAAAAATTCCACCTCGAGCAGCTTGGCTTTTTCTTCTTTATGTGTATCGAGTAAATGCTGCTTCTCTTCTTCCTCATCTAATTTTCTCTCTAAATCCTTCAATTCTTTTTGTAGCATTGCACATTTAGCTTCCGCTTCCTGTGATCTAAGTAAGAAATTAAGTGATAGAAGAACGAAAGTAGTGGCCATGACCAAGTAATACATACTATCAATGTTCTTCTTTATTCTTACTTATTCGCATGAGTTTGTGCTTTCTGATTGATCTCGGTGATACATTCATTTTGCTTGCAAATATGCGTCTCCAATGTGTGGTTCCTTATTCGCAATTCAATCAGTTCTTCTTCTCGTTGGTCTACCCAACGTTTTGCATCTTCCCTTACTCTTTCAACTGCAGTAAATAATAAGAAATTATACTATGTGCATTGAATAAAATATCGAATGTGTACTTATACATGTAATCACAAGGCAGGACAATTCTTACTTTCTGCATTTGCTTCGTTCCTTATATTCTCTTCTTGCTCGGTTAATGTCTCAATTTTCTGTTTCTGCAAAGCGATCACTGTATTCTGTTGTTCCGTTAAGAATTCAGCGTGCTGTCGGCAGTTTTGCAACATGTCCATGGTAGCATTGTGGTGATCCGTTATCGATTCGACTAGCTGCCAAGCTGTATTGAACCTAAAAAGCAATCATAAGAAGGTCTAATTTAATTCGTTGAGTTAACACCTTCTAGGGATACTAACTTTTCCGTTATCTCTTTATTCACTGCTTGTTCTGCTTTCAAGGCTTCGGTCAAAGATGCAATTTTATCATCGCTCGCATCGATCAGCTTTTCCAAACTGTGTACTTTGCACTCTGTCTGTTCCCATTTTCGCTCGGTTTCAGCTAGCTTAGCCTTCAGTTTTACCTTTTCTTGCTAAAGGTTCAAACAAGTACAACATATTTGCTGAATGTACAGATTTACTATCTACATTTACAGTTTCCAAGAATATTTCATCGCAGCTCATACACGAGAATAATCGAGTAACATTAATTCTTGTTTTCACATGTACCTCGTGAGAGAACACAGCTTGACTTTGAGAATTCGCCCTCCATTTCTCTATCAAGATTTTCGGAATCTGATCTTCCATTTGAGGATATTCTGTCTGTGACGATTGAATCCGTGGAACCTTTTTGGGACTAACATCAGTCGAGGTCAATTGATCGGTTCGCTTATTAGAACTATGCATGTCTCGATCCACTGTAACAATTAAAAATGAAAATATTACCGTTGCAACCCATAAATGAATTTCATTAATAATACAAAATCAAACACTATGTTTTGTTATGATAATATAAGCACATCTTGTCTGCAATGTTTTGTTAAAAATTACTTCTATAATTTCTACTACTTACTTGTATCTACCAAAGAAGAGTCGGATTTTTTCCAACATTAAAACAGAATGATTTAACTAATCAAAAAGTGTTCTTTGCTGAAAGCTCAAATGGAGATGAAGTATCTATGCATGTATGATACATTCCATTGCAAAATTTTGTAAATTTAAATACTTCATGTATGTATACATATGTGAGGTATTTAAAATTTTGAATGGTGCGCTTTTGGTAGTTAACCAATTGGCGTCGTTCTTTGAAAAAAAGGCCACAGTACTGACCGGAAGATCTCTTCTTGGACTCGTTTACATCGATCACTCAGTACGCGTACTGACTACGTTTCCATCGTATTCCCAATCCCGAATTAATCGGATCCGAATCCAGCAAATCGCATGTCTCCACCGTATTAATAAATGCGCAGATAAATCCAAAGAGTCTCGATCGACCCTTAAATTCGGATTTACGGGGTTTACACCCGATAAATCCTGGATTTCGAGGGCGATGAAGATATAATCATTATGCTACTTATAGCATAAAGAAGGGTAAAAATTATGTTTTACATACAGGAATGACTAAAAGAAATAAGTTAGAGCAAATATGAAATATCAAGGTCAGTCACCAATCCGGAGGCTACAAAATTGGCTGACCAATATGGCCGTCTTACCTTCTTTCTTCCTTCGCACGGTTTCCCGTCCAATCAGTGAAAAACTTTGGACTTCGTCCATGTATTCGTATGCTATGGAGGGAACATGTGGAAGCAATAAGAAGGCAGCCATAATGGTCAGCCAAAATTCTGATTGGCTGAGATTTAGTTCTTAATTTAGGAGTAAAGAACGGTATGAATTGTGGACAGATGAATAGTGAACGAAACACAACATAACACTTGTAGCATAAAGAAAGATAAAAATTATGTTTTACGTGGAGTAGCAAAAAGAAATAAGGTGGAGCAAATAGGAAATATCAAGAAAGTGATCTACCAATCAGGAGACTAACAAATTAGCTGACCAATATGGCCGTCCTACCCCTCTTTGACGCTCAGGCTTCCCCTGACCTAAAATGGAATTTTGGACTCCATCCATATATTTTTATGTCCATAAATTCGACTGTGATGATAAAAAGATCGAGAGACAGGACACTCTCTTTCTCTTGTTCTCAGAGATTTTACAAAACAGTTGGGCAGCGAAATATAGCGACAGTCTATCTGGCAGCAAGAGGAAAACAGGGAAAGGATCGTTCCTTGCACGCCTTCTCTTAATTTTATTGCAATTACAAGAATATCAAAATGATTGGGTATTCGATATCCATATATTAACATCCGTGGGTAAAACCGAAATATAAGAGCGTTTACACAACAGTTAACATTTATAATAACATCGGTAGTTATAAAATCCGTGCAAGGCAGAGTGTATAAACGTATGTGCATACTGCATGTTGATAGTCTATTATTAATCAATCAGAGCGTTTTCCTGTATGCATCACCGCGGTAGTGTAGTAAGTAACAGGACATCTTATACCTCAGTTCCTCACCCAGCAATGAATTAATTAGATTCGAGGTAAATAAAGGGAAGAAATGGAACTCCGATAACTTCAGGGTTAAGAAGATCCGAGTCAGTTTCTACGTGGCGTATCGGCCTAAATCAACGCTCATAGAAACGGGCAATAACGCAGGTAGTACCACGAGCGTCCGCGCCGCGGCAGCACCGCCGGCGTCTTACGTCAGACAATAATGACGTGCTAATGGTTAATGGCTTCTACTTTCCCGAGCAATCTTTATGAGAAAGCCAAACAAAATCCAAAGAGATTTCATGAGCCTCGATGCATCGGGGGTCAGAATCGTAGAAATATGACTGCCTGAGCGTTTTACCGTATCCGCAGATCTTAATTTTTATGGGATTCTACTGGTGGACGGAGAAATACGTGGTGGATTCGACTACGGGAAAACGGACGTAACCGTCGCAGCCGTCGTCCCGCTGGATCGGCCAGATGCGAAGAATCTCGAGGCTCGACGCGACACCGCAAGGCAAACATTCCACGTGAGTAACGAAACAACCCCGACGGGTCGACTCGGCTCCGAGTCTTCCCCGATTTCCCTTTCGGCCCGAAAACGGGCAACTCCCTTGCCACCCAGTCGGCAATGGCGGCCGCCGCGAATCCACCGAAGGCTCGCGAGCACTTCGAGCTATCCCGATCTCGCGGTTTATCGCCGATTCCTCCGCCGCTCCCTCCTCTCGCGCAGATATTGCCGCTTCTTCTTAGTCTCTCCCGATTCCGTGTAACCGTCTCGGTACCTCCGAATTCGTTTCGCATACAACCCAGCTAAGACGTCGCGCTCGCGCGCGCGTCCACGCGCGGCGATGTGTGCGTTCACACGTAATGCGTACGTTTACGGATACCCCGAATGGCTTGCACGCACCGTGGATCAAACCTCGACTACTCAATGAACACTCCGTCTTCGTTCCTGCGAAAACTCCAGGTGAGCTGTCAGGATTTCCTGCGCTGTGATTCTTTGGATCGGAACTGTACTCTTCGAGTCCTTCGGGGGATGTTCTGAGGTACCTTCGCGGTGTAGTTTCTGGTAATTTTAAACTGGATACTGATTATTTATTGTTTGGTATTCTTGTTTCAATTAGAACTAATCGAACTCATAGTTTTAGGTCCTAGGATACTGGAAGTGAGCCGTTATAGGTTTCGGCACCGTGTTTCTTTGGATCGGAGCTATACCATTCAAGTCTTTTCATGGATGTACTAGACTATCTTTGCGATGTAGTTTTTAATAATTTTAAATTGGGTATTGCCTATTAATTGCTTGGTATTCTTGTTTCAATTAGAACTAATGGAACTCATAGTTTTAGGTCCTAGGATACTGTAAGTGAGCCGTTACAGGTCTCTGTGCTATGTTTCTTCGGATCGGAGCTCAACCATTTGAGTCTTTCCATGGATGTACTAGGCTATCTTTGCGATGTAGTTTCTAATAATTTTAAATTGGGTATTGCCTATTAATTGTTTGGTATTCTTGTTTTAATCAGAATTAATTAAACTCATAGTTTTCGTTCCTATGAATATTGGAGGTGAGCCGTTAGTGGTCTCTGCGCCATGTTTCTTTGGATCGGAAGAACATTGAGTCTTTGCAGAGATGTTTCAGGGATATCATCGTAGAGTAGTTGATTTTAGTTTTAACCTTGCTTTTTCTTAATAATATTCTGGTACCTTTCTTTCCATTAGAACTAACCAAACTCTTGGTTTACGCTCTTGTGAAAATAACAGGTCAGCTGCTACAATTCTCTATGCCGTGTTTCCCACAATTCTAACCTCGTCTCTCCTAATTATTATTTGTTATCTTTGTTTTAATCAGAACTATCCTAACTCTTGGTCTTTTTTTTTTTCTGTGAAAATCAGAAACGAACTGCACCGTTTCTTCGGATTGGAAGTATACTACTCGAGTCTTTTGGGAAATATCTAAAGACACCTCCGCAGAGTACTTTCTTTTAAGGGGATGTGAAAGTAACATCTGGAAGCTCAATCGTTCATGAAACTTTTCTCCGAACTGGGTGCACCTAATAGTTTCAAACTTTAGAACATGACTTAATTAACTTCGCGACCTAATCACGAATTGTACGCTGCAATTGGTGACATGCCTAGCGGTCGTGATACCTTCCAAAAGACCTAATTACCTTTGCGACCTAATTACGACTCGTACGTTGCAGTAGGTAACATGTCCAGCAATCGTGACATCCCTCAAAAGAATTAATCACGAATCGTACGTTTCAGTAGGTGACATGTCTAGCAATCGTGACATCCCTCAAAAGACCTAATCACGAAACGTACGTATCAGTAGATGACATGTCTAGCGATCGTGACATCCCCCAAAAGACCTAATCACGAATCGTTCGTTTCAGTGGGTAACATGCCCAAAAGACTTAATCACGAATCGTTCGTTTTAGTAGGTGACATGCCCAAAAGACATAATCACGAATCGTTCGTTTCAGTGGGTAACATGCCCAAAAGACCTAATCACGAATCGTTCGTTTTAGTAGGTGACATGCCCAAAAGACATAATCACGAATCGTTCGTTTCAGTGGGTAACATGCCCAAAAGACCTAATCACGAATCGTTCGTTTTAGTAGGTGACATGCCCAAAAGACATAATCACGAATCGTTCGTTTCAGTGGGTAACATGCCCAAAAGACCTAATCACGAATCGTTCGTTTTAGTAGGTGACATGCCCAAAAGACATAATCACGAATCGTTCGTTTCAGTAGGTGACATGCCCAAAAGACCTAATCACGGATCGTTCGTTTCAGTAGGTGACATGCCCAAAAGACCTAATCTCGAATCGTTCGTTTCAGTAGGGGACATGCCCAAAAGACCTAATCACGGATCGTTCGTTTCAGTAGGTGACATGCCCAAAAGACCTGATCACGAATTGTTCGTTTCCGTGGGTAACATGCCCAAAAGACCTAATCACGAATCGTTCGTTTCAGTAGGTGACATGCCTAGCGGTCGTGACATCGAGCGTGCAGAACGGAACGGCAGATTTCGCTCGAGAAGGAGAGAGAGCACGGGGAGCGACGTAAATCGGCACAACTACGAGAGCTCGGACAAGCGACACAGGAAGCATGGGCGCAGCAAGAGCTCCGGGAAGAAGAAGAAGAAGAGGTCGCGCGACAAGTCCGTGGAGAACGTCCCGACGATAGCCTCGTCGGTGGTGAAGCCGCTGGTGGAGTACTCGGACGTGAGTAGCGAGGACTTGTCGGAGCCGGAGGCCGGGGAGATCCAGTCAGAGGACAGCAGAGGGAACAGCTACACGGACGGCGACGCGACCGAGCCGATCCTCCAGAGGCGGTACTACGGGGGCAGTCCGGGGCCCGGCTCCGGGCCAGGGCCGGGGCCCGGTCGAGGCCTCGCCGCGTCGCCCATCAGCCTGTCCCCGTCCTCCCCGGCGCAGCGGCAGAGGCCGCCGCAACAGGCGCTGCAGCAGGCGCAGCCCCAGCACCGGCACTCCGGTCGGCGGTACTCGCCCATCGAGCCCTCGCCCCAGGCCCAGGGTCGCGCCCAGCGCGGCTCCCCGCAGCGGCCGCCCAGCGTCCATCGGGTCTCCCCGGAGTACGCGGAGGAGACGCGCCGCTATGTCCGCCGGAAGGAGAAGAAGCACAAGCGCGAGAAGAAGAAGAAGCGGAGCCTATCGCCCTCCTCGAGCGCAGGGAAGAAGCGGAAGCGCCGCCAGAAACGCGGACAGTCGCGCAGCCTGAGCCCCAGGGGACCGGACGAACCGGAGATGGGCAAGCTCGACGGCTGGCCCGAGTCCCCGGGGATGCCGCTCGGCGACGACACCTCGCCCATCTCCCCGGCGACGCCCCAGGACCGCCGCAGGTCCCTCAGCGACATGGAGCTGGAGTCTCCGCCGCCGAGGGCTGCATCGCCGCCCCCTGGCCGACCGACGCGACGCTCCGACTCGCCCCACACCCCGCTGCTGCCTCCCAGGGTTAGCAGTCCCGACGGACACGACGGGGCCGGCGCGCCGCCTCCACCTGCCCGTGCCCCCGTCAAGCACAGCCCTGATCGTCGAAAGCGGAGCCCAAGCCCCGGGCCCGCTGCCGCGCGTCGGAGGCCGCATAGTCCCAGCCCTCCACAGGTACGGGTCGACGATGAAGATCGATCGATTGAAACATCATCGTCGCCGCGACGAACGAAAACATCACTCCCTAGAGAAACGGATATCCTTTCGTCGAATTGATATCTTTGATGGCTTCTATCGGCAAAATACGATCTAATGAAATTAAAGTGAAGTGAAACACGTCGAGAAATTTGGTCGACGGCGGTGAAAAGGATTTTTATACCTACGTTACCGATCTTCGTATTTGTATCGATGACTGGGTCGACTTATATTGGGTATTGCACTAAACGGCATACTCCGTATGTCGGTTCCGTACAATTGTTATAAAGAAATCGAAGTAAAACTGTAGAAATCCCTTGGGATCGTGGTTTTTTAATGCTCTAACTGACTGCAGAGGAGCACTGTGCCATCTGTGATTTCCGTGTCAACTAAATTTTCACTCCGAGACGAATATGTGTATAAAAACGAACGTCGGCAACGTAGGTATTTAGAAAAATCTTTATCGACTTCGATCAAGTACCTCGACGTGTTTCAGTTCACCTTAAACACGTTATGTGAACAGGCCCTAGAGCTGTATTGCTTCTTGACGTGAATATGCCTTAGGGCTGGGGTTAGGGTTACAGCTAAGGTTAGAATTTATTTTAATTTGTTTGGATGCGAGTGGAGCGCGTGTGTAGGTACAGGGTGAGTACAATGTTATAATAAATTCTCCGCTATATACATCCTGATGGATTATATAAGATGGTTTTAACCAGTTAAAACCCTGGGCAAAACTGGATGGGTTTAATGTAATGTATTTTATTTACTTTAAAATACCGGAAAAAGGCGCTGGTTTTAACCGTAATGGGTCAAACTACCTACCCTGACCCTGAAGACATAATATGTATGCATGTCGATATCTGGGTTCTTAGCCATTCCTATTGCGGCTCTTCAGGAACTGATCCGATCGAACCCTCGGATTTGTTGACACTCGGCGGTGCTTTTGACTCATTAGTTATTCATTCACAGGCCAGGAGGCGCACGGATCACGGTGAGCTCAGGCGACGCGAGCCCAGCCCTGGCGCTGCCGTCACGATCGTCGCGACGCATCGCTCCAGGCACAGCCCGAGCCCCGTTTCCGGCCAGGAAAGGCGCAGAGAGTTCAGCCATAGTCCCGTGAGTCACCGGAGACGCGCCGATCCTCCCTCGGTGTCGCCAACCAACAAGCGGAGACGCAGAGACGACTCGAATCGACGGCATCGGCATCACGACAAGGACAGGAGGGACAAACGCAAGTCCAGGTCCAACCGGAGCCCCGTCGGGAATAGGTGGGAAGACCGGAATACTAGCAAATAACCCGGAAGTTCCATAGAAGCCCAGATCCCATGTTAGCGCTCGATGCTCTAATGCGCGGTTCCATCAACCTTGGTTAAATCATTTATTACCTAACCCTAGGTTAAAGTTAATCTCTAAGTTAATCATCGGTTAAGAAAGTTAATGTTCCACGTTTATTTGGAGCGCGGTTAGCTAATCGTGTATACCACTCGAAGTAAGTTCAATTGTGACCACTTGTTGAACCCTTTGACTCGAGTCGCCGTTAATCGAGTCGATTTAATTGTCAACTCGCTATTGACTCGACTCATCGCGCTGAATATATGCGGAATTGAGTTGACTCGAGTTTGCAACGTTCGAGTAACTCGAGTCGATGAAGTACTCGACTCGTTATATCGCTTTGATACGAGTCGTCGTTAATCGAGTCGTTTTAATTGTCAACTCGCTATTGACTCGTCGCGCCGAATGTATGTGTCATCGAGTCGTCGACTCACGCTGGCGATGTTCGAGTAACTCGAGTCGATAAAGTACTCGACTCGTATCGTTTCGACTTGAGTCGATAAAGTACTCGACTCGTATCGCTTCGACTCGAGTCGCTGTTAATCGAGTCGTTTTACTCGCTATCTCGCCATAGACTCTACTCGTCGCGTCGTACGCGGCATTGAGTTGTCCATTCGAGTCCAAACTCGAGTTGGGAATGCTTTCGAATTCGAGTAACTAGAGTTGGTAAAGTATTCGACTCGTCGCATCACTAAACGCGACCTCTTAAACGATACTCCCGTTCCAGGTTGCCGATGCCGCTGTCCCGCTCGCGCTCCCGGAGCCCCGCCAGGTGGCGCAAGGGGGTGTCCTCGCGGTCGAGGTCGCGGTCGCGCAGGAGGAGTCGGACCCCGAAGAAGTCCCGCTCGCCGAGCAAGTCGCACAAGTCCTCCCGCAAACACAAGTCGAAGAGTCCGCGGCCCTCGAGGATACCCTCGCCGTCGCCTCACCGGCCAGCCAGGGCGCGAAGCCCGGCCAGCATTCAGGCGAAGATCAGCCAAACCAGCCTCTTCGCCGAGCTGGTCAAGGACAGGAACATGAGGGAGCTCGCCTACAAGAAGCTGCAGGCCGCCAAGGAGAAGGCCTCAAGCCAGGACGAGGTGCAGATCATCGAGGGCTGCGACGACAAGGAGGCCAGCAACGCGTCCTCCGAAAACAAGGTCGCCGAGAAGGAGAGGCCGCTGAACGACGCGGATCAGGACAGGGCGAAGGGCACCGACGTCGTCGACATCCCCGTACCCCTGCCCCTGAGGGCGCCCGAGGAGGGCGCCGCGACCGGCACCACCCCACCGCTGCCCTCGGGCCATCCGCAGCCCTATCTGTCGGCCCATCCTCGGGCACTTCCTCATCCCTACCCCCACCGGCACTCGCTGCCTCACCCCCAGCCTCACGGGGCGGTCCACCCTCATCCGGGAGCCACCATCCCCGTTGGAGTCACCCCGGGTGTCCAGGGGCCCGACCACTCGCCCGCGGCGCTGCCGGCCAACGCTTGTCCAGGTATCGTGCAAGGAGAGGGCGAGAATGGGCTTTGAAGCTGCCGCTCACTAGCGACCCATAACGGCAATTAATCGAAGTTCCGGCCACTGGTCCGACGTGCTTCTCAAGTGGCGACCCAGAATGCTTTCAATTTGTGTCCTTTCGGTTAGGAAAAGTTCGGTATCAAACGTGGTTTTTTCCATTGGAGAAAATGGTTAGTAATGTTGAAACGCCCTCACACCCATGTGTGGGGACGGGAACACTGGTTACACATTAACCTGTTAACTGCGGCATTTACTGTAACGTTACGGGTTACCAGAGAGGTCTCGTTAATGAAACTTTTCTCCGAACTGGGTGTACCGAATCCTTTCAAACTTTACAGCGCGAACATGGAGGCTGTAAGGAAGGTCCTCGCACTAATGAAATTTCATTTTTTACAACAAATCTTCAAGATATCTGTAAACAGATCATTAAACAATTGAAATTCATGGATGCCGGGACCTTCCTTATAGCCTAAATATTCACGTTGTAAAGAATGAAACGATTCGGTATGCCCGGTTTGGAGAAAAGTTTCATAAAAGAGGCCTCCTTGGCGCCACTGTCGCATCACCTTAAGCGCCATGTCGGTTCAGTCAGTGCCTTGGTCGCTTGTGGGCAGTAGCCATTAAGGTGAAGCGAGACACGTCGAGGAGCTTGATCGACGTCGGTAAACCAGATTTCTATACTGAACCGGAGTACCTACGTTTGCAAGTGCTCATAACATCCCTACTCGAGTAAAAACTTGAGTTGGCAGCGTTTTTAAATTTAAGCTACTCGAGATGATAAATTATTCGACTCATTGTGTCAAAATTCCGGACACCAATCATCGATAGCGCACACGATACTTTATGTAACAAAGGCATGGGTTTACGCGTCCTTTTGCGCAGACGCGGAGGACGAATATGCTTACTTTTTCGTCCTAGGACGTTTTGGGGCTCTATTCCGTCCTGTTCCCAGTCCTTCTAGTTTGTTTCCCTCCTCTGTCGCAAAGAGACCAACATTAGAAACAGAGGACGGTCGCAAAAAGACGTGAAAAGCATGCTTACGTTACATAAGAAGATTTTGCGTCAGAAATGAGGAGAATGGAATATTTGTCGGTAATACAGGAGCCTGTCTTCCTTTCGTAGGTATGCCCGCCACCTGCCATCCTGGGGTCAACCCCGGAACGGCGCTCTCGCAGCGCTCGCCGGTGATGACGCACGTGGAAGCAGGCCTGGGGAGTCTGCCCCAGGTGCCGGTTCCCGTGCCGGCCCCTCAGGTTCCATTGGCGGCGACGACCTTGCCGAACCTCTCGGTGCCGCCTCCGCCGCCGCCACCGCAGCCGCAACCGCAGTTGCAGCCGCAACCACCGCAACCGCAGCCGCAGGTGCACCCGGCCAACACGGCCATGGCCAAGTTCAACACCCCCAACAACCTGGTCCCCTTGAAGTCGGTGGACCCGCCGAAGCCGCCGATCGTAGCGTTCAAGTCGAAGGTGCTCTCCAGGTTGCCGTTGCCTCCGGGGATCAACCAGAACGACCTGGAGAGCATCGACTCGCCGCCCAGCGGCTCGCCTAGCCCGCCCAGCAAGGCGCAGATCAAGTTCCCCGGCTCGGGGCAGAAGTCCACCCTGAAGAAGGGCATCAAGGACCTGCCCATGCCTCCTGGTGAGTCGCGTTCGGCCTCGGGGGGGTCTTCCGGCGTTAGGTCGTTGATATCTATCCTTCTTTAGTGGTTCCCGGATCGGAAGAACTCAGCGGAGAGGATGATCCCGCGATCAGCCCTCCCCGAGCCAAGATCGACCGGGTGGCCCCCAAGCCCAAGTTGAAGCGACCGAAGATCCTGAAGAGGAGGGGCTCCAGGAACTGCCATCTACCCATGTCGGCGACCGGCGGCAAGGACTGGGGCGAGAGGTGCGTGGACGTCTTCGAGGTGATCGCACAGATCGGCGAGGGTACCTACGGGCAGGTCTACAAGGCACAGGACAAGCGCGCCGGGGTTCTGGTCGCCTTGAAGAAGGTCCGCCTTGAGAACGAGAAGGAGGGCTTCCCCATCACCGCCGTCAGGGAGATCAAGATCCTCAGGCAGCTCAATCACAAGAACATCGTCAATTTGCGGGAGGTCGTCACGGATAAGCAGGATGCCCTGGACTTTCGAAAGGTAAGTACACGTGTGCACTGTTGTAATTCAGTACATTTACTTCTTCTGCCTTACATCGGTTTTATGACCACCAGTGTTATGATTAGGGTTGTTGTGTGTAGCGTAAACGCCATTTTACTTTGGTGTTCATGATGAAACGGGAAGAACACTTAAGGGGATGTGAAAGTGCCATCAATCATTCATGAAATTTTTCGCTGAATTGGATGTATCGAATCGTTTCAAACTCTACAACGTGAATATGGAGGCTGTAAGGAAAGTCCCGACCCTGATGAAATTTCATTTTTATAACAAATTTGAAAAACCAACGAACAAATTAAAAAAAAAAATTGAAATTTCATCAGTTTCAGGACCTTCCTTACCCTCCATATTTATGTTGGAAAGTTTGAATCCATCCGGTACACTCAGTTTGGAGAAAAGTTTCATGAACTCTTTGACGCCACTCTCATGTCCACTTAACATCAGTAGTTATGAAATCGATGAAAGGTAGGATGTGTAAACGGAGTAATTTACGTGACATTTAACACCGGTAGTTATAAAACCGGTACAGGGTGTACTAATTGACTGAAATTTAATTATTCATAGCATTCCTAACGTGTAATGTGGGGAAACTTTTACGTTTTTAACCCATGCTTAATTTAGACGTTAATTTTAATCTACGGTTAGGTAATCGATGATTTGACCGAGGTTGGTGGAGTCGCGAGACATCTCGTCCACGGCTGTGAAGTTGTTAAGAATGCTAATGTCTTCTTTTTTATCTAGTGTAATTAAGGTGATATGAAAGGGTCATTCTGTACATATAAAACGTACATATAAACGAATTTGAAATCTTCTCTTTTTAAGGACAAGGGCTCCTTCTACCTCGTCTTCGAGTACATGGACCACGATCTCATGGGCCTGCTGGAGTCGGGGATGGTCGACTTTAACGAGATGAACAACGCCAGCATCATGAGGCAACTCCTGGATGGGTTGAACTACTGCCATAGCAAGAACTTTCTACACCGCGACATCAAGTGCTCGAACATCCTGATGAATAACAAGTATGTCTAGGCAATCCGCGATAGGCCGATGAAATATACAGGCTCTAAAGTAGGTCCTGAAACTCAGGGAATTACATTTTTCATACAAAATTAATTTATTTATCATGGACCAACACCAACGTGGCGTGGTCCGGGCACGTTTCCGATGTTTTACGCTTCATGGAGGCTTAGAATCGAAAATGAAGAGTTTCAGAATCTAGCTCGAACAGTTTAGAATACCGTAGAAATGGAATGTTACAGAGTCGGATGGGAAAATATGGAAAATACTTTGATGAACCGTTGCAAGAGAATGCTGGCTCGTCTCGTGGGTAACACATGTGTTCAGAGCAAAAATTTAGTTGCAGCTAAACGTCACAGATGGCGTCGTTGGTCCTAATCAGTCGTTAGAATAACGAATTCACGGGATTTCGTCAGGTTTACATCGATCTCGACTTCGATTTCTTTATATTTACTGTACGAAAACGACAGGTGGAGTATGCCGTTTGGTACAGTACCCAATATAATTCGACACAGCTGATAATGTAAAAATGAACGTCGGCAACGTTGGTATTTAGAAAAATCTACATTACTGACGTCGATCAAGTTCCTCGACGTGTTTCACTTCACCTTAAGTTCTGGGGTAACCGTGATGTGGGAGAATATTTTCTCACGGAGCACAGCTGAAGGACAGAAATCCGAATCTGCTGATGCGGGGTAGACCGGAAGTCGTGATTCCTAGCTCCCGATAAAATACATGAGATTCCGCAAAGGTAACATTACGTTGTTAGGGCCTTTGAAAGCCCGGAAATAGATGTTCCGATGGCTTGAGGATCATTCCCGTTGTTGGGTTTTTCAGGGGGAGAATTTTCAGCGACGAAGAAATCCGAATCTGCTGATGCGCGGGTAGACCGGAAGTTGCGTTTCCTAGCTCTCGATAAGATACATGAGATTCCGCAAACGTAACATTATATTGTTAGGGCCTTTGAAAGCCTGCAAATAGACGTTCCGATGGCTCGGGATCATTCATTCCCGTTGTTGGGTTTTTCAGGGGGAGAATTTTCAGCGACGAAGAAATCCGAATCTGCTGATGCGCGAGTAGACCGGAAGTCGTGATTCCTAGCTCTCGATAAGATACATGAGATTCCACAAACGTAACATTACGTTGTCAGGGCCTTTGAAAGCCCGAAAATAGACGTTCCGATGGCTCGAGGATCATTCATTCACGTTGTTGGGTTTTTCAGGGGCGAGGTGAAGCTCGGCGACTTCGGCCTGGCCAGGCTCTACAATGCCGAGGACCGGCAACGACCGTATACGAACAAGGTTATCACCTTGTGGTATCGGCCTCCCGAGTTGCTGCTGGGCGAGGAACGCTACGGGCCCGCGATAGACATCTGGAGCTGCGGCTGCATCCTCGGCGAGTTGTTCCTGAAGAAGCCCCTGTTTCCGGTAAGTGAGGCACAAAGGAAAACTGAAAGTAGGACAGTCGATTAGGAGAACCAAGGACATGGCTCGTTTCGCTCGTAATGATAACGCTGCGAAGAGGCCGTGTGTTGGTTGGTCTAGGTCGGTTAAAGGTAGGAATCCACTCGGCCCACGCTACGTGTCGTGTCGTGACGCGATAACGCGTAGAGGAAATGTTTGGAGGTGATTGCATTTACTCGCTGATCTATTGGTTAGAATATTTTTTTCTCTGTTCTTCTCTTCCTATTGGACTGAAAAGTCACGACACCAGCGCAGTCTTTGCTTGGAGTAGGTGAACTAACTTCAGCGTTACATCTCTCCCATAAGGAGTGTCGATAGAGTTCGAAAATTCTCGGTAGCATTAAATTGGAGAAGGTAACTGTGAGACATACCGTAAGTTACCGGGAACATTGAGAATTTAAGAGAACGTTAATTTCGTTATTTATACTTTAGGTTTCTTCGTTTAAATAACTTTTTTTTTTTTCAATCAACTTCAAAGTTCAAGCTAAAGAGTAATAAGTATTATTAGAAAATATTGATTATAGGGCCGTATTTACCTCCAGCTAAAAATATTCACGTATGTACAACTTCACGGAAAATTCCATGCGATTTGTTTCAAACGAACTGATATTTCATTCTGCGACGAAGCGAATGGGAGGTTTTGATTGGCTACGGAGAACGTACAACGGAAATTCCCCTCTACGATGTTTCTCTATAGCTAATCGAAACCTCTCGTTCGCTCTGTTGAAAAATTCAAATTCTCATAATTTCTCGATAAAAAAGGCTTTGGAGAAATTACCGACAAATTACCGGGAATTTCTCTTCGTTTCTGACGTAACTTACTGAAAGCTGACTTACCGCGCCACCGACCCCTACCGGACTGAGCGCGCACTAATTGACCCGTACTGGACTGAGCGCGCACTAACGTATGGTCGCCTCACAATGAAATTACTGACATTACTTTTCGGACAAACTATGTATGGGAATTGCGCCACGACACGACACGCGGGCCCAGTGGATTCCTACCTTTAAGACGAAGAACATCTAGTGACAAGTTAACAGTTACAGGGTAACGTCGACCTGATGCAGCTCGAGATGATATCGCGCGTATGCGGCACGCCCACGCCAGCCGTTTGGCCGTCCGTGATTCACCTGCCGCTCTGGAACATGCTCAAGTCAAAAAAGTCTCACAGGCGTCGACTCAGGGAGGACTTCTCGTTCATGCCTACCCCGGCCCTCGACTTGCTCGACAAGATGCTGGAGCTGGACCCCGAGAAGCGCATCACCGCCGCCGACGCGCTCAAGAGCGTCTGGCTCAAGAACATCCAGCCCGAACAGTATGTCCTGCCCGAAGCTGGGCGAGAAAATCACTTTCTGTTGGGTTGGCAACTAAGTAATTGCGGATTTTTTAATGCCATCTATCGACAAAATCCGCAATCATTTAGCTGCCAACCCAATATACGGAACGGGGGATTCTTGCGCCAGAGGGATACGAACATCCTTTTGCTGTCGTCGACGAGATACGCTTTGGGGCTTATTATAAACAATTAACTCTTTGCACTCGAGGCCTTTGTCAGTCGAGCTGCCAGCGGCGATTAAGGGGATGTGAAAGTTACGTCAAAGAGGTCTCGTTTTATGAAACTTCACCGAATTGGGTGTACCGAATCGTTTCAAACTTTGAATGTAAAGGCTATAAAGAAGGTTCTGACCCTCGTGAATTTTAAGTTTTTATAAAATATGTTAAGAATGCCTATGAAGAAATTTTATAAAAAATGAAATTTCAGGGGTTTCGGGACCTTCCTTGTAGCCTTCGGGTTCACGTTGTAAGGATTGAAACGATTCGGTAGACCTAGTTCGTAGAAAAGTTTCATGAAAATTGATCTTTCGGATGTCACTTTCACATCCTCTTAAGGTGATATGAAAAGGTCATTCTATATATCAAACATCAAAATATTTATAAAACTTTTCACCAAATCCAATAATTTAAAACCTCAGTATGTGATTATGGAGGCACTAAGGAAGAACTTGGTATTCATGAAATTCATGTTTAATAAACAATCTTTTTTACTTATCCCAGACTAGAACCAAGAATGTATATTTTTTTTAATGAAACTTTTTTTATTTATCCAAGAACCGATCTAAGGACACCTATTTTTCTTTGTTGAAAAATCAAATTTCATGAGCATAGCGATCTTCTTTAGGGCCTCAATAATCACGTGGTAAAATTCCACATGATTCGATACACCCAGTTTGGAGAAAAGTTTTTTAATATTTTGACTTTTTTATACATTTAATGTCCTCTCATACCACCTTAAGAGTCCCCTCTCAAGTGCAAAGGGTTAATACGGATTTAGAACGATAATCAATTTCCACGAGCTTAGTTTTGCTCTTATTGTTCATTTTCCATAGACTTTCTAAAAACGCCTTGGCAGGGAAATTTAATTCGCTTTAAAATGTGAGACACAGGATAAATAAATAACTCGCCGTTAAGTAAAATTTGATAAATTTAAGATAAATCTTAGGTTCTCTCGCAAAACTCTACCATGTACTGGTGTACTCGTTCGCGCATTATCTCGGAACAATATTTATATCTTGTTGATTTTCCATTTCGAGCACTAAGGTGATATGAAAGTGTCATTACATATATACATATATTTGTATATATAGTTAAATATATATATATATATTTTTAACGTTAAAATATTGATAAAACTTTTCTCCAAACTGGGTGCAGCGAATCATTTGAAACTTCAGCACGTGATTATGAAAGCCCGAAGGAAGAACGCTATACTCATGAAATTTCATAAAAAAAGAGAGATGTATTCTTGGTTCTAGTCTGGGATAAATAAAAAAACTTTAATATTGAAAATGAAATTGACCGAGAACCGTATTCTTCCTTAGGGTCTCAATTATCATATGCTGAAGTTTCGAACGATTCGATGCATGCAGTTTGGAGAAAAGTTTCATAAATATCTTGACGTTTCATGTATATATAGAATGATTCTTTCATATCACTTTAAGTAGTTTGAATGACATCCAACACTTAAAGAGAAAGAAGATGATATGACTTCCATTGACATTTTCAATACTCGAAGGCAACTTTATACGCGATACTTATTGTTGTGAAATCGTTTCCACTCGATACGAAGTTGTCATCGTTTAATTCGCAACGCCGATAATTCTCGCAAATGCAAATTCGTTGGAGCCAAGATACTTCTTTGGCAGGATATGTCTAAATTGCCGGGAATAATTGAACTCTCGGGGGAAGTAAATTTTTCGCTCAGTGTAGAGCGAGATTCTCTGTTTGTTATTTTTTTTCTGTCTCTTAAGATGATATGAAAATGGCATCCAAAAGCTCAATCGTTCATAAAACATTTCTCCGAACTGGGTGTCTCAAATCGTTTCATACTTTAAAACGTGAATACGGAGACCCTAAGGTAGGTCCTGAAACTCGCGAAATTTCATTTTGTATAGGAAATCTGAAAAACAGCTATAAACAAATTATCGTAAAATTGAAATTTCGCAAGTTTCAGAACCTCTCTTAGGGTCTCATTATNATAAACAAATTTGAAAAGAATTGAAATTTCATGAGTTTCAGGACCTTCCTTATAGTCTCCCTATTCACGTTGTAAAGTTTCAAACTATTCGGTAAACCAAGTTGGGAGAAAAGTTTTCTAAACAAAACTTCTTCGACGCCACTTTCGCATCACCTACACCATATATATATATCATTTTACCATCATATTATCATTCAGATGTGCCCATAATTATGAAAGTGGTCTAAGTCATATATTTTTTGTTTCGAAATTACATTGAATTAATTTCGTTTGTAATAATATGGCGTGAAATAACTGATGAACTCATTTTTTTTAAATTTTGACTTAGACCACTTTCATAATTATGGGCACATATTATCATCTTTCATATCACCTTAACTTCTCCGTTCTTTCTACTGGATCGTCGCGGCTGTAAGAGTTATCGGCTTTGCTCGCGTCTTCCAAAGACGGGACGACCATCCCGTCCGCGAGGTCGGACGATGTCCTAATGCTTTTCGTCGCTGATCCAGGATGCCGGCGCCCCAGCTCCCCACCTGGCAGGATTGTCACGAGCTCTGGTGTAAAAAGCGCCGGAGACAGCTTAAGGAGCAGCAGGAAGGTACCGCGGGGAAAATACCCCTGCTCCCGTTACCGAACAGAGGAGGTCCTCAGAAAGGAGGAGACGATCTGTCGGACGTCGGTGGGTGAGTAGCCAGTAGGAAGTCGCACTGTCACGGGGTCTGGGATTCGGGATCCAGGATCCAGGATCCAGGGTCCAGGGTCCAGCAGGCGGTGGATCCCCCGGGGTCGATCCCCCGGCTGCGGGGAGAGAGGGAGAGAGAGAGAGGGAGAGAGAGGATACCCGCGGATACCCAGGTGTCTCGGAGTCCTAAGTCTGCCGACCTGGGACGCGCGTCTTCGGCCACCACTGCGACTTCCGTTCCTCCCGAAGCTCGCTTGGTCTAGTTTCGGCTCCTCTCCTCCTTCCTATACCTCCACCCCTTGGAACAGGGTGTCCGGCGATTCCGAGGGAAGAACCAGCGGCTAGGTCGAGGGGGAACCTCGCATCTCTGGCCCTGAAGAATCCTGCTTCGGGGAGGTTCACTCTCCCGGAAGTGGTCCAGAGGTTCGCCGAGTGCTTCGAAGGACTTGAGGTGAAGTGAAACCCGCCTCGGAATCCTCGATTCGAGTAAGACGGCTCTTTCGATGGGCACTCCACCGTACCGACTGAATTTATGCCACGTGCCACTCGTGAGTACTTGTGAATTCAGAAGTTACATAGAAGCCTGGATCCTATGTTAGCGCTCGATGCTCGAAAAGTTGGCTAACTGACAAGGAATCAGAGTGAAATGGAGGTCGCATGGGTTTGCCAACGGTATCTCACGTACGGGAGGAAGAGAGACACGTAGAAGGCGAGTACCGGGGGTAAGGTAAAGAAAGAACGCAAGCCGCTGTATATCGCCATAAGATTAAGAGAGACGGAGAGATGATTACAGCGCCGCCATCCGTTGGCTAACGTACTATTCGTCCAGCATCAAACGTCCGTATCCTTCTGGGCTTCTATGGAGACTTCTGAATTCTTTGTGAGTACCTAAGGAATGTCCTGACACTTTCAACATTTGGATTCTCAAAAGAAACTTCTTCACTTAGCCTGGACCCGAAGATGGCGTCGTGCTCTCATATTTCGATGAATGTACAATCCTTTAAGGCTCCGACGTGAGAAACGAAAGTCTTAGGACCGTCGGAGAAGAATTTAGAGCCCTCTGGTTATCGAGAAACAAGGAAAGTATCGAGAATTATTAACGGTTACTTCAGTAATTAATTATCCTTAATTAAATGTTACTTTTTTTCCGGCTGTTATTAATTAATGTGAGAAGTGTCGAGAAAAGGTGTACTAACGAGTGCGGTGAAACTTAGTAGCCGGTAAATCCGACAGATGGCGCCGTTGGTCGGTTAGAGTATCAGGAGTCATGAAGCAAGGGGCTACATCGTGTTTTATTTCGATCTGTTTAAAAACCATTGTTGGAGTGTGCCGTTCCGTACGATAGTCAATGCGATACGACACAGCTGTCGATATAGATATAAATGTCGGGAGTGTGGAGCGCTTTTAGGAGAATTTAATTTTACCGATGATTAAGCTTATCGACGGGTTTCACTTCACCTTATCGCGCGTTTCCTCCTGGGCCGTCTGGCAAAAGACTGAGCGCTAGTTTCTGCATTATCGCTAGAGCGAGATGCACGAGTGCACCGCGATCTCCCTCGTGGTTGGTCCTCCCCTTTTTATTTCCATTTTTCGGCGTTAATATGACACAGGTGCGATGGCGGTCGCGAACGCCTCCTCGTGGATGCCTTCTCGATCTGAGATTCAGTGGCTTAGTTTACACCGACGAGTATGCGTACAAGTATGGTACGAATCAAGCTTAGCCAGCGTTTACATCATATAATGGTCAGCGTTCTGACATTATCAGAACTAAGTACGAATCGCGAAGTAGTATAAGGAGGTAGGCGTTATGTCTCCTTATACTACTTCATGGTTATAACTCCGAAATATTTGTAACAACGAAGTGGTAGAATGAGATTCAACGCCATGTATTAAAATCGTCCCCACTTTAGGGGTCCAAGATCTTCAGACTTTTTTCGACCTAGGACCGACAGCGCCTCCTTCATGAAATTTCACAACTTAAAATTATCGTTCACTGGCGGGTCCGCTTGTTTTTATCGCGTTAGCAACATAACATTCTGTATGTCATGCGTGGATTATCAATTTGGTTTGTGTACCTTAATTGAAAGATTAAAAGCATTTTAGGTCATTTATGTCGGTTGGAAATGATTTGGTCATGTAGGATTGAAGTTCCCTCATTTTCCGCAAGGAGCGCTCGCATTGTTAGACCAACGATATATCATGCGCGGATTATCATTTTGGTTTGTGTACCTTAATCGCAAGATTAAAAGCATTTTAGGTAATTTACGTCGATAGGAAATGATTTCGTCATGTAGGATTGAAGTTCCCTCATTTTCCGCAAGTAGCGCTCGCATCATTAAAATGACTTTCTGTGGTACCGATCATAGGCTTTATGTTTCCTTATACTACTTCATGTCGACTACGAAGTGGTATAAGGAGATTCAATGCCACGTATTAAAATCGTCCCCACTTTAGGGGTCCATAGTTCTCAGATTTTTTCCGATGTAGGGTCAAGAGCGCCTCCTCCATGAAATTTTGCAACTCAAAATGATCGTCCTCTAACAAGTCTATTAGTCTTTATCGCGTTATAAATATCACGTTCTGAATATCATGCGCGAATTATCGTTTTGCTTTACGTACCTTAATTGCAAGATTAAACGCATTCTAGGTAATTTACATTGATAGAAAATGTTTTGGTCACGTAGGACAGGAGTTCCCTCATTTTCCGCAAGGAGCGCTCGCGTCGTTAGATCAGCGAAAATTTGAGATCATGAGTCCCGATTTTGAGGACATTTTCTATGAAACCGACTCTTGGCGTTATCTCTCAGTATACTACTCCATGGGACAAATATAATACGCTTTACGTACCTTAATTGCAAGATTAAACGCATTCTAGGTAATTTACATTGATAGAAAATGTTTTGGTCATGTAGGATAAGAGTTCCCTCATTTGCCGCAAGGAGCGCTCGCGTCGTTAGATCAACGAAAATTAGAGATCATGGGTCCCGATTTTGGGGCCATTTTCTATGGAACCGACCATTGGCGTTATCTCTCAGTATACTACTCCATGGGACAAATATAATACGCCTAGTGGTTGCCGGTCAACCTGTTTGTTGTAAATTTTGCAAAAATTCAATACACTGTCGAACATGAATGCTTTCCCTGCAGATGGCGCCGCCAGTGTTGACGAGAAGGCATTCACGTCCGTTATCGTACATGGATACAGGTGAAATGATGATGGATTTGTTAACTTTGTTTAGGAAATTTGTGAAGACATGTCAAAATGCTCGTAAGAGCCGCATAAATAATTTAAACGTCGGCGATATGTCGTCAGAGTAGTTAATTCGTCGGCGAAGATATGAGTTGTTATTAATGTGGTTACGAATAAATCATTTAATATCTGCGAAAATTACTTTGGAAGGCCTTTTCCCATCCGCTATTGCCAGAAATTGATTATTAAATCCTTTCCCGTACGACGTTTTAATTTAATCTTCTTCATTTTTCTATGCCAGATACCTATGGAGAATCACGTAGCATTTCATCAGTTTGACATTGAACTTATTCGCAGTAAAATTTTGAAAAATGTTGAAATTTGTTATAATTGTGCGTTTAATGCACTATTTGAATTTTTAATACGCAGACCAGCTTGAGGAATAAGTTCTCGCCATTTTTAACGTAACGTAACATAATTAAGGTGATAGGGAAGGATCATTCTATATATATATATAATGTCAAAATATTAATAAAACTTTTCTCCAAACTGCGTGTATCGAATTATTTGAAACTTCAGCACGTGATTATGGAGGCCCTAAGGAAGGTCGCGATTCCCGTGAAATGTCATGTTTAAAAAAAAAAATTTTATTTAGCCTAGACAAGAATTAAAATCACGTTTTTTTGTCAAATATGAAATTTCACGAGCATCGCATTCTTCCTTAGGGCCTCCATAATCACGTAGTTAAGTTTCAAATCATTCGGTACACCCAGTCTGGAGGAAAGATTTATTAATATTTTGACATTGTACATATGTCACTTTCATATCGCCTTAAAACGGCGGGAACTTATTCCTTAACCTAATAGCTTGAAGAAACGGTCTCTTTGAACGTAACGTGGCAATACGGTTCACTATCGTTTATACCGAAAGTTTTATACGAACCATTACGCGTATCACATGATCTATGTAAATTAAGTCATTATGGTGCAATAGCGAGGGTACTCCCACTACTTTAAGGCGATGTGAAAGTGACGTTAAAAAGGTCTCGTTTATGAAACTTTTCTCCGAACTGGGTGTACCAAATCGTTTCAAACTTGACAATGTTAACGTGGAGTCTATAAGGAACGTCCTGGACGCTACAAAAATAAAATAAAAAAAATTTGTCTACTGGTATTTTCAATTGTTTTATAAAAAATGATATTTTATGAATGTCGGAACCTTTCTTATAGCCTTCATGTTCAGGTTGTAAAGTTTCAAGCGATTCGGTACACTCACTTTGGAGAAAAGTTCCCACGGCAATTTCACATCACCTTAAAAATCGGTAGGAATTTTTTGGACAACCCAATAGAATGTCCCTTTCATATCGCCTTAACCCTTCGTGTGTAGGCGCGTCGATAAGCCCTGTATCCATGATCAAAGAACATTGTCAAAGTGTTTCGCCGACTGTTTATGACGAGAAGGCATTTATGTCCACCAGAGACCCAATTCTCGAGTTCATACGGATTTTATTCACATACGAATAAATTCGCATGAACTAGTTTGCATTATTGCGAAGTCGGATAATTGTTCATCGTTTGAAAGTCGAAACTGTCAATTTCGCATAGGAAAGTTCATCGCCGATAGCTTAGGACGAGAAGGCATTCATGTCCACCAGAGATCCAAGTCTCGAGTTCATACGGATTTCATTCACATACGAATAGATTCGCATGAACTAGTTTGCATTATTGCAAAGTCGGATAATTGTTCATCGTTTAAAGGTCGAAAATATCAATTTTGTATGGGAAAGTTCATCGCTGAGAGCTTATGACGAG